CTTGCGGGGGAGGCGCGGCTGAGGGCCTCGCCAGCGGCGTGGGGGGCGGTGGAGGGAGGCTGTGGTCGCGGAGAGGCAGCCGGCAAGAGTGGCTCTAGGCGCTAGGGTCGGCATGAGCCATATTTGTGTGATGCCGATTACTCTTTTGACCTCTGAAATGCTTTCCTGTACGTGTCCCTAGGTTTTCCGTGTGCAGATTTCCACATGAGCTGCTTCCCACTCGATGGTTGCTCCCGTTGCACGTGTTTCTTTGTTTCCTGGGCACAGAAACGAATAAGCCGTGTGTGCTATGAAATTTTCCCGAGACTGAAGTTGCGTGGAGATTCTGCCGAAAGGCAAAGCCTCCCTAGTAATAAGCAAATGGAAAGTAGGAAGGAAAACGGGCTTGAGCGTAGCAAAAATACACAAATTTTTTGGTGTTTTGTTTTTTAATCCCTAGGAACATGCTTCAGGAAGGCGCACACGGAAAATGGACAGTATCTAGCAGTGATGAAAGTACTGAGGAAAATTCTGACAGTGAAAAACCCTCTACATCTTTGCTATCAGATGCTGCACGTGGCAGAACAAGCGAGCCACAATATCCATGCTCTGAAGCTAGGAAAGCTGCTCACAAGAGAAAAGCTTCTCCCTTGAAGCTCAGTGATAAAAAAACTTCTACAGAAATACCTCCAGCAGAAAAACAGAGAACTAGCCAAGAAGGCTTAGGCTGGTGTCTTTCTAGTAGTGATGAAGAGCCTGAAGATCAGGAAAAGCATGCCCACAAAGAAACGCTGAAAGAAGAAAAATGTGATGCACCCAAAGAACATCCTCTGAATCTTTGCAAAGATGATGAAATCTCAGAGAATCAGAAAGCAGAGGAGTATGATGAAACACTCAGTGAAACCCAAGATACCTGGGATTTGTTGAATGGAGGAAACCCTTTCAGGTTTTTTCTCACTAAAGTCAGAGGAATTGAACAGAGCTATAATTCTGGAGCCCTGCACATAAAAGGTAAACAGGTGACTTATACAGAAGTGGGCTTTTGGGAGACTTGTTTGCAAGAGAATACTTATCTTTAGTTTGTGGGTATTTTTAAATACAAATATCCCTCGGTGTAACTGAGGCTTCATATTCTAAATGTGCCAGTTTTACAAATTGGTTCTGTTATCTTTGCCTTTCTCTTTTAGAAGTATACGGTATAAAGCATTAATTTTCTGATACTGATTCTTTTGTAACTTCTAAGTTATGGTACACAAATCTAATGTGCATTTAGCCAAGGCAGCTCATATGGTGCTTCTTATTGCTGCTTTCTGTGTGAGTTAATCTGGGGGAATGCTGTGTAGTTGTAGTTTGATGTAAGGGGGAACAGCTCTGTGCACCTGTAAACATCCCCTCATTCAGAAATGAAATCACATACATTACAAGACTGAGTCAGAAACAAGCATTAATAAGAGATTTATGCACATAAATAGAGTAAAATGAGGCAGAAAAATTTTGTACTTCTTTGGAGGAGAGCAAATGACTGAAGACCTATACAATTAGGCTGTAACTTTTCCTCAACCTCATGTGCTCCCTATGAGCATTGATTATTGATGGCACCCTCGTGTCAAGAGACCTCACTTGCTTTACTGCTGGATGTCTTTATCTGCTTTGTGAATTCATTGTGGCTTTTGGCTTGTCCTCTCTTGGGACTAATTGTCCTGCTAGGGATTAGTTGAGCTGGTGGAAGGGCTGAGTCTTTGTTTAACCTACAAAACCAGATTTCTGTAGAGATAGGGCATGAAATACTTTGTCTATCCTAGAAGATATTTGTAGGATGTGTTTTCAAGTTGCTGCTGTGCTTGAGTTATTGAGGTTATAAATCCTCAGTTGGATTAGTTTTCTGCGTTGCCGTGAATGAACTAAGGATATGCATATCTTACAATTGGTCTGCAACAGTTAAGTCTTTAAGCATTAACTATGCCCTTGTTGCTTCTACTCTGCCACAGTTCTTCAAGCCACCTCTCTATAGGGGAGAGAATAGTTTGATGTCCCTTTCTCCATATGATCTTGGTCTTTCTTCTAATGAGTTTTTAAAATTTGTTTTCTGCTTTGAGGGAGGATTAATGCTTTTTGTAAACATAAGGGGAATCAGTGACTTGAATATTCAAACCAGTAAACTTAATTGTGAATGTCTCTGTTACGCCAAGTCTGTGAACAATCTGGCACTTGTGTAGTGGTAGTTATCAAACTGTTCAAGATGTGAAACGTGTGCTTGAACCTTTTTTTACTCAATTGTGCTTTAATGTTTTTAATAGATATTTTGTCTCCTCTTTTTGGGACTCTCATGTCTTCTGCCCAGGTGAGTTTTCTGTTTGCCAAATTGATTTCACTTAATTATTTCACTTTATTAACCTTAACTTGATAATCCATGTTTGTGCCATGTAGCCGATATTGGCAGGGAGCTCTGAATGTTTTCAACTGTACAACAATTTATTGAAATATAAAAATCATCCTATGTTCTGCTTAGAGTTCAGGCAATTATAAGATTGCTTTCTCTCTCCTGGGGAATGCATAATTGAAAAATATGTATTTCTGTGCACGTAAATTCATTTTTTTGAAAGAAAAAAGCTTTGCAATCTAGGAATGGTATTTTTGTTATTGCATAGAAGAGACATGACAGAAAGCATATGAAATTCAAAAAGACACCTGTTTTTAAAACATACTGTGTATGATGTAAGTGGTATTGAGTGATGACTTTACATAGAAAGTTTTTTTGCTGTAGTTCATTGTTCTGACAAACTCTGATTTTTCTATTTAACGAGTCTGTTTTCTTTTTTTATGTACAAGTTTAACTACTGTATAGATGTGGGATGGCTTGTAAGACAGTATCCACAGGAATTCAGGTATGTTTATTTTATGAAGATGAAATAATACAGTTTCCAAATTATTCTATTCATGCAAGTTGCTGTTATAACTGAATGATAAACACTTGTTTGCAGTTGGAAATTATTACCAATTGTGTATGTGTAGACTCTTTGTTTTCCTTGTACGCTTATTCCACAGTTGTAGTCCTCTATTGATTTCTTGCCTCTTTTGAAGACTGTTAAGTAGTCAGTGTTCAGTGTGGCTGGTTTCTGATTTTTATTAATTAACACTTAGGAGGTCCCATTGTGGGCCATGAGAACAATGCAGTAGATGACCTATAAAAATGGACAAATGCCATACAGTTTACTGAGCCAAGAGAAAGGAGGGAATGTAGAAAGGGCACAAGAAAACTATGTGAAAATGAGCAGGATGATACGTCATGGATGTGATACCATTGGAGGTGCTGGATATTGTCATGAAAGCCGTTCTTATGTTTGCTTGAAATTCCATTCTGATAATTGCAATATACTGCAGATGAAGTGAGCATGTGATGTACAGTTTTCTCTCCTTTTTTGTATTTTGCTGGAAATGCAGTAGAACGGAGTATTGGGAAGTGAACATGAAACTACTGCCAGAGTAGATGTAACCCTCTCCTTTTCCCTCTCATTCTTCCCATCTTCTCCATAAAGTAACAATGATTAAATTGTCTTAGATATACACTGTGTATATAAATACTTTTGAGAGCTTTTATCTGTCTGTTTCTTGCTATACAGACGAGTTCCCTACAAGATCTTGTATTATCAGTTTCTATTTTACTGTCTGATTTACTCCATGCTTCCTGTTTCCCTCCCCCCCATCCCCCCCAAAGTTTTCTAGTGTCTTTCTTTAGAGGTTTGTTGTGGTTTAACCCCAACTGGCCTCTAAGCACCACACAGCTGCTTGCTCGCTCCCCCCACCCCAGTGGGATGGGGGAGAGAATTGGAAGGGTGAAAGTCAGAGAACTTGTGGGTTGAGATAAGAACAGTTTAATAATTGAAGTAAAATGAAATAGAATAGTAGTAGTAGTAGTAATAATAATAATATAATAATACAATAATAATATACAAAGCAAGTGATACATGATACAGTTGCTCACCACCCACTTACCGATGCCCAGCCCATTCCCGAGCAGCGATCGCTGCCCCCCAGCCAGCTCCCCCCAGTTTATATACTGGGCATGACATCATATGGTATGGCATAGCCTTTTGGCCAGTCTGGGTCCGCCCGCCTGGCTGTGCCCCCTCCCAGCTTCTTGTGCACCTGGCAGAGCATGGGAAGCTGAAAAGCCCTTGACTGGTGTAAGCGCTGCTTAGCAACAGCTAAAACATCAGTGTGTTATCAGCATTATTCTCATAGTAAAACCAAAACACAGCACTATACCGGCTACTAGGAAGAAAAAATCAACTCTATCCCAGCTGAAACCAGGACAAGGTTCTATTGTAGTTACTGCTTTTTTGAGTTAGTTAAGGCATATAGATTTTAGTGCCATCTTCCTGCTGGGCTATCAGATCTAGGGGCCAGAAGTTATAGCTACATGAAGGAGTGGTTTAGACTAATTACTAATTCGCTTCATGTTTTAATAGTAATCTCCTTTTGTTTAAGGAAGAAGCCATTGTTGATAGTTCATGGCGAAAAGAGAGAATCCAAAGCTGAACTGCTTGCACAAGCACGCCCTTATGAGAACATTAGCTTTTGTCAGGTAATTAACATTTGTGTCATCCTTTGGTTGAAATTAAGCCACCTGTTCCACTCAAAAAAAATTTTTATGGATGAAGAGTGACACATCTTGTATGGGAAATCAAGAATTTATTGTTATCCTTTAAGGAATATACTTACCAGGACCATAGGAATGTGGTAGCTATGTTCCTGGTCTTCTGTGATTGTGGTAATCTGTCAGCTGCAAAAGGTTTGCACAGAACAGCTGCCCACAAAAATGTCATGGGGCTCACAGAAGAGCTGCACACCTTCTCCGCTGACATGTTGCACTCAAATTCTTGTAATGGCTGAAAAGGAGGCACTTCTTGTGTAAAGTGCAGAACTTAGTCCTAGTGTCACTGTAATCTTAAATCTCATCAAGAATTATTATTTGTCCAAGTATGTTTTACACAAGAAAATGCTGTTACAAATAGTCTCCATAATACTGTTTAAATTGCTGTGAGCACACTTCCTGGCATATGCCATTTTCTCTCTAATATTATGCTCAGTTTTCTGCTGTCCCTGAGTCATAGTTACTGGCTTCAGCCTTGGGAAGAGGTGTGATTATGGCAATTTGCCAGCATTTCAGGATTTTGCTGGGTGGAATATTGTTGATCTGGGGATATCTTACTCTTTGTTAGGAAGAGGATGATCTTGGAATTGTTCTTCCTTCTCAGGCAGTCTGGTAACCCTGAGCTTCCTAGAGATTGCTGTATTGATGCCAAGCATAGTGAGTTCTCAGGGCCAGGATTTCTGGGCTGCTGTGTGCTATACTAATCAGATGTTTGCGCTAAGTTGTGGAGTAGCAACAATTTTAGATGAAGATTTCAAATATGCTGACAACAAATTCATGTTTTTGCATATAACGTTTCCTTTTCACACACAACAAGAATTTGAATGTCATATGTCCCATATGATAAGCTTGTCAGTGTAGTTAATAGTAAGTAGCAGGGGAAAATGGCATTTGTGATGATTTTCCTATTTGGGTATACTGCTTCACATTCTTCTGGTAGTCTACATGCATTCCATTATGTTAGTACCCCAAAATGAAATGTAAGTATTTTAATCTTCTCCTCCATGCCCGTATTAACTAGACACAATGTTGGAGCCATCACTGACTAAAAGTATTTTCTTAACATCTGTAACTCGTGTTTCATTCTCTCCCTAGAAATTGTGCTGTAAATACTCTTTAATAAGAGTAGAGCACTGATAAAAAAGCGTTTCTGTCTGGCTTCTGTCCTTTTCTTTGCAATGTTAGCCATTAAACTGCTTGTAACAGTCATTGTCTGCTTCCGAATCACAGAATGGTTGAGGTTGGACGGGCCTCTGGAGGTTGTCAGCTCAAGCAGGGTCACTTGGAGCCGGTTGTCCAGGACAATGTCCAGATAGCTTTTGAATATCTCTAAGGAGGGAGACTCCACAACCGCTCTGGGAAACTCATGCCAGTGCTCAGTCACCCTCACTGTAAAAGAGTGTTTCCTGATGTTCAGAGGGAACCTCCTGTGTTTCAGTATGTGTCTATTGCTGCTGGTCCTGTCACTGGGCACCACTGAAAAGAGCCTGGCTCCCTCTCCTTTCCACGTTCCCTTCAGGTATTTGTACACAGTGGTCAGATCCCCTCTGAGCCTTCTCTTCTCCAGGCTGAATAGTCCCAGCTCTCTCAGCCTTTCCTCAGAGGAGAGATGCTCCAGTCTCTTTGTCGTTTTAGTGGCCCTTTGTTGGACTTTCTCCAGTATGTCTGTATCTCTCCTGTATGGGGGAGCCCAGAAATGGCCCCAGTACTGCAGGTGTGGCCTCACCAATGCTGAATAGAGGGGAAGGATCACCTCCCTCAGCCTGCTGGCAACGCTCCTCCTAGTGCAGCCCAGGACACTGTTAGTCATCGTTGCTGCAAGGGCATGTTGCTGGCTCCTGTTCAACTTGGTGTCCAGCAGGACCCTCAGGTCCTTTTCTGTAAGGCTGACTGTTTCTGAAAATAATGCTGGTAAGAGACTACAAATTCTGCTGGAGCAGCTCTAGCAAAGAGTTGCATTGCCATTTAAAGTCTAACTTCTAGAAATTAGAGAGTACGTTTAAAGGTGTTGAGGGGAAAAATAATGTATTTTGTGAGCTGTCCACTAGAGAGCAGTGAAATGAAACAAAATGAAGAAGCATCTCTCTTCATTTAACATTCTTGCATATAGAAATTTTTAATGATCAACTTTTATTTTTATAGGCTAAACTGGATATTGCATTTGGAACTCACCATACGTAAGTAACAGCTATAAAGCAGAAAGCTTCACTTCTAAAGATGATCACAGAGTTGGTACATGTGGTACCATAATTGGACTAGTAACTAGTGTCCAGTGTCTTAAAGCATTTATGGGATAGGAAGATAGGTTATTACTGTTTGTGAAAACATAATCCTGAAGGCCTAATGTATATTGATGAAATTTAAAAGTAGTATCTTTCATGTTCTATGTGTATCAGTTTCATTTATCTGCAAGTTATTTTAAAGCCATAAAACTGAGTTTCATAGAAATTGCTGAGTCTTAAAGAAAAAATTCCATAATAACTTTGTATTTATAGATGATAGGATTGTTCTAGTTTAAGGAAACAAATCAACCATTAGGTAGATACCAGATGTGCAAGTTAAACAAATGAAATCAGTGAACTGCAGGTCCTGGCTCTTAGCTCATGCCTTAATACCAAAACCGTAATGCAGACTTGATCAGTCGTTGATGAGTCAACATAACACTGATTTACTGCTTGGTTTTTGCAGTTAACATGGATGATCTAGAAATAAGTACTGAATTTTGGGGTCTTTTCAAAGAAAAACTTTTATTTGGTATTATAGAAGTGTCACAAAGGGCATTTTGTAGATTGCAAGTCGCAGATAAGAACAGATCTCATCTTATGTCTTGTAGCGAAGCTCTTTGGTTTCAGGGCACTGCAGTATTTTTTAACCAATTAATTCTTTTGTATAACTCATTTTATAAAACATGACATTATGTTGAAACGTTGATCTGAAATGTCCCGTTAAGGTACATCTGTGTTTCTGGTAGAAAGCATACTCTCCTCCTCATTGCCTGTTTGGAGGAGAATGTGCAAATAAAGGAAATAAATCAGCATTTTAAAAATGAGTCTTGCATCTCTCTCAGGTTTAGTGACGGACATAGAAGGAATTGAGGTTGTTTTTCAAATTGATAATTCTTAAAGCTTTAGTTTATTTTCACTTAAGCAGTTTAAACACCAGCTCTCAGCCTTTGTATGCTCAACTCTAAATTTTTTTTCTTCCACCACAGTTTGGGATAAATAAGTGATAGTGAAGTTAAATGCTAGAGTACTTTAACCCTATATTTTAAAGGGTTGTTCTAGGTGGTGTATCTCTGAATGCATGTTCCACTGCAGATGGAACATAACAAGTGGGTCGCAGACCAGTAAATTGGATCTTGGTGGGTAATGAAACAATTTTGTTCCAAGAGAAACTTAACAGATTTCACCCCATCAAATATAAAGACTTAAATTCATGTCATTCCTGTTGTATGATGCAAAACTTAAATTACACATCAGTGATTTTTTTGAGGTAGTAGTGTTTTGGTCAGTTATCACTTTTATATACCTTAATTTTGCACTTCATTTTGCTGTAAAATACTTATTTTACTGTCAACTCAATTTGTGTTTAGATCAAGGCATAACACAGATGTGGGGAACTGTTTTATAGTTAAGGGATCTTGCATATTGCATAAACTATGTAGTAAGCACAGGAAAACATGTGCAGGTACTTGAATGTTAGTTTTCTGAACTCTAAAAGCAGAAATTACTGAATAAATCATTGTCTAAATTTGACCCTGATGTGATTTGCGTAGCATTATCTTGCCATGGGACAGCAATGAAAATAAATGAAATTTCCTTACAGCTTTCATTCTGGAGCATTGGTTTCTATGGAAACCATCTTATCCTTCAGGGTCACATGGATATGCTGTCTTTACACAACTATTGAAAACTTGTATATGAAAATTTGAGCACTTATGTTACAAAGACACAGACATTTATTTTAAACGCAGTTACTAGTTGTTTTAAAACTCCTTTGCTGTAGCTTTCTCTATCTGCAAAGGAATAAGTTTGTGAAGGACATAGCAAATATCGAAAGGTGTTCTGCAATTATTCCTTTTTGCTTTGGGAAATCAGTTACATGAGATGTTAAGCTGTACTCTGGAATATATCGTATGATGCTGCTGACAAAATATATGAGGATAGTCTAATGACTGCGGTGGGAGTTTGGCATGCACATGGATTGAAGTCTTAAGTGTTTGCATTACATAGAATAAATCGTTTGAAAATAATTATCTTGGAGCATTTTAATGAATTGTTAATTTCTCTCCTACTCTCGGTGTACTTGAAACAGAGGAAGCGTTATATATTTTTTTTTTCAAGGAAAATGATGTTGTTGTCATACGAAGAAGGTCTTAGAGTTGTGATACATACATCCAATCTTATTGCTGAAGATTGGCACCAGAAGACTCAGGGGTAAGCAACAACCTCTAGCAGGTGTATGTTTACTTTAATACTGTCCGTAGGTATCTGCTGCTGCTGGAGACCGGATACTAGGTCAGATGATCCAGTGCTACAAGTCTTACACTCCTAAGATAGAGCTATCCTGCAAAAAAAAAAATCAAACCTAGAATGGTGGTAGCTGTCTAAGCCTTGACTCCACTTGCTTTCTACTGTAAACAAAATTATGTCCCGAGCTGGCTGTTACCTTAAACTCAGTCTGACTGATTTAAGATCGCTTACTCTGCCATGCTGTCTCTTTATGAAAAAACTACCTAGCTATAAAGTAGTCTTTATACAAATCTGAAGCAGCTGTTTAAAAATTATCTTAATACTGCAAGAATAATGTGAATGTGGAAATGTTCTGCTTCTGCTGTGGCTGTATCTAGAATGTAACCTGATAAATGCTGGGCACCATTGGTTCCTTAATACAGTAGATGACCCAGTATCCTTTCCTTGAAAGGAATTTTCTTCCCGTTTTTTTTGGTAGAAGTTTTTAAACTTAGCGGCCGGCTTGGGACATAGTTTTGTTTAGAGCACAAAAAATAGGACTAAGAGACGTGTTAATATAAGGCCTCTCAACCTCGTTTTCTTGGTTATTTTTATGGGAGCGTTTTTTAGTTAGATCTCCACAGTGACTCGGGGTGTAAGATTTCTTCATCAAACTAATTGAAAATAGCTTTTTGGAAGTTACTGTGATTCTCCCCCTCTAATCCACTCTCGTGAGACCCCACCTGGAGTTCTGTGTTCTGCTCTGGGGCCCCCCAACATAAGAAGGCTATGGACTTGTTGGAGCAAGTCTAGAGGAGGGCCACAAAGATGATCAGAGGGCTGGAGCACCTCTCCTGTGAAGACAGGCTGAAAGAGTTGGGATTGTTCAGCCTGGAGAAGAGAAGGCTCTGGGGAGACCTTATATCAGCCTTCCAGTACCTGAAGGGGGCCATCAGGAAAGCTGGAGAGGGACTTTTTACAAGGGCACGTAGTGATAGGACAAGGGGTGATGGCTTTAAACTGAAAGAGGGTAGATTTAGATTAATATAAGGAAGAAATTCTTCACTATGAGGGTGGTGAGGCACTGGCACAGGTTGCCCAGAGAAGTTGTGGATGCCCCCTCCCTGGAAGTGTTCAAGGCCAGGCTGGATGGGCCTTTGAGCAACCTGGTCTAGTGGAAGGTGTCCCTGCCCATGGCAGGGGGGTTGGAACCAGATGATCTTTAAGGTCCCTTCCGTTCTGTGATTCTGTCCCAAACCGTTCTGTGATTCTGTCACCTTGACATCCATTTTGCTGCCATTAAATATGGCAAGGTTTTGAGGCTTTTCACTTGTCTGAGGCAAGCTGTCATAAGGGTTTTTGAGTGGCAAAAATATAACTGCTGATTTTTTTGCCTTTAAATCTTTTACTTAGGGATGGCTTTAGTATCTTTTGGCAGTTAGCTTTTCAGAAAGCCAAGAAGGCATGAAAATATCTATTTGGGATGCTTAACAAGTTGCCAAACGTGAAAAACATTTTTCTTTTTAGCTTTGCACACCACAATAATACACAGTATCACCAATATGATGGTTCACTGGCTTCTCTGTTTTATAGGCTTCTAAATTACAAAGGATAGTATCAATGTTGTAAAGTTGATAATGCAGAACCTTTGGTTTCCATGGCTACAGTAATGTGTGACTGGAAAGAAATGCTAGATGTTTTCCCTGCGTAGTGCCCACCCTATTTTATTCTGATGGAAGCTCTGAAGAGGCAAGCTATCGTTGTGGGCTACTCTTCATACTATGCAGAACTTTCAGGCACCTTAACTGCTGTCTTTCTGTACCATTACACAAACTAGTAGCTTAGAACGCGTTGCAGTGTTCTAGTCATACAGAAAATGTTGATGAAAGTACGACTGGTTGGTAAGTCTGAGCCTGACTGGTTTAACAGTGATGAAAGCTGTAAACGTATGCATGGATAAATATGTTAAGATTGTTTTCATTTGAAAGTATTAGTTTTATGGTATTGAGTATAAGACTTGACGATTCTGTAATTGTAAAATAAAGGCAAGTCACTTTATGGTTAGTATCACAATAAATCTGTCTAGTGTTCATTTAGGACCTTTAGACGTGCTTTAATCACTTACTAAAACCATGTGTTAATGTCTGCTGTCCTTGTTTTTGTGGCTTGCTTTTTAGAATATGGCTAAGCCCTTTATATCCAAGGCTACCTCAGGGATCAAGTGATTCTGCTGGTGAATCGGAAACTAATTTTAAATCTGACCTAATAAGTTACTTGATGGCTTACAATTCTCCTGCGCTTAAGGAATGGATAGATCTGATTCAAGAACATGATTTATCAGAGACCAGGTATATGCTATCTTGTGTTTATAGTAACTTGCATGCTTTTTTCCCAAAAAAATTAAACATCTCTGTTAGGATCTACTAGACCATGGGTTTATATTGTAACCTTACCTTGTTTCAGATGTAAGTGTTCCAACATGAGTCTAACTTTAGGCAGTTTTTTAAATCTATCTTATGCAAATTATGGTGAATTGACCAACTTTTAGTTTTATGAACGTACATTTGAAAGGAATGAAAGGTGCATTAGCAGGAACTTGACAGAAGGTAGCTGTAAGTAATAGGGACTCAAGAGTTTCGTTTAAGTCAGTCTGGCTTAAATATTTGCTCCAGTAGAATTACCAGTGGGGAAAAAACTGAGTTGTATTTGGTTTGTCATGTAAGAGAGATCATATAAGCAGAGGTTATTGTAATGGGGATTTTATTAAGAACAGGCTTCTGTACTTTTAAGGCAAAGTTCAATCCGTATATGAATGTATAGAATTTTGCCTGTTGCAGGCATAGATCTTGTCTGGTAGGCAATGCTATGTCAAGCAATAATATACTTTGTCTTGAAACAGTTTTCTCTAATACCACATTGCTGATATTACTTAAAATAATTCAGGATGCTTAATTCTAATAGCTACATCCCACATTTCCACTGAAATATATTTACTTCAGAAAGCGTAAATCTTCTTGGCTGCTTAATAGCAGTTTTATAAGCTGGCAAAATTTGTTGAAAAGCTAAGAAAGATCATAAACTGTGGTGGAAATAGAGACTGAAACCTTGTCTAGTTTAATGTATAAAATCAATTATGTGCTTTTTTTCTTTACACGGAGTCTTACAAGAGCGGAGGGGGAAGCAGGGAAAGTATGTACCTTAAGGTCAGGTGAGATAACAGCCTGAGCTGCTGTTCTTATTCACTTGGTCATCTGCGTGAGCTTGGACAGGTTGGCTGAGCCCTAGCTGATGTGAGTTTATGCATAGGTTAGGGAGGAGTCACTTGTTGGGATAAGGATCAGTTCTTTGCCATATAAAATATGTAGGGAACATTCATTCATGGATAAAGTTAGGCATGAGATGCAGTAAAGAACAGCTGCTTAAACCATCTGTTTGTTGTGATGCTGGGCAAGTCTCTTTGTTTTCAGGGCAAAGTCAAACAAGTTACTAAACTACTATTAGGAAGACAGTTGAAAAGGTTGTACTTTGCATCTGAGCTATAAGGTGCCCAAATTAAATCTCGTACCTGAATCTGCTGATTTGGATGTAGCAATAGATTGGTTCTACTCAAAATTACATGCCCAATTCTGTGCCAAACGAGCTGTTTGCATTTATTGCTAATCATCTGTTTTCTCCATTTCTGTACACAGAAATAGATGCAGTCCCTGTCTATGCTATAGAACAGCCTGGTGGTGTGTGACAGCTGTTTAGGATGCTAATAATAAATTATACAGCTGAAAATCCACTTTTCTTTATGTTGTAAATCTTAAGTGTAAAAGATATAAAAGTGTAAAATATTTCTGGTTGCACTTCTATGTTCAACCTCGCTGATAGGTTTTACTTAAATACCTTAATACTTTACAAACCAAAACACTCCCGAGCTGCAAATAACTTGGTGTTTTTTTCTTTCTATAGAGTGTATCTGCTTGGTTCTACCCCTGGACGATATCAAGGTAGTGATAAAGAAAAGTGGGGTCATCTTAGGCTCAGAAAGGTACTAAACTGTAACCTTTTTTGTTAATATCCTTTTAACTGTAAGTATAATTTTGAAGAGCATTCTTTAGTTCCTTTCAATTTTTCCAGCTATGATCAGCAATGTTTTAATATGTTGTTACAGTTTAAGTTAGCAATAACATAAGCTTGCAACTTATGACAGTACAGACTGCACATAATATTCCTGAGTAATATTACCATGGTCAGCTTATGGTCTGAATTGTCGTGTGCTTACAGATATCTGAGGAGGTGCCATCACTCAGTGACTTTGTCTGCTCTTGGTGTTTCTAACAAGTGTGACGCTATCAAAATCCAGTCTTCTGTGGCTGGGAACCAAATAAAGCCTTTTTCAAAGGCACTCACTGAGGAAAGATGTGTTGGTACAGGCTTGCCTGCACATAGAGAACAGGCTTATTTTATTTACTTAAATGTTAAGGGCTATTACGGTTTCTTTTTCCCTAATGGCCTGGCAAAAAAACCATCAAATTAAAAACTGGTTTGCACATAGCTGATGTCATCTGTCCAGTGAGGTTTTTAGTTTTGCTCTACTACATTTCTAAGATCTTGATTTTCTTTTTAATTATATTTCTAATCAACTGAATAATTAAGAACAAGGATTTTTTTTTTTCACACCAGTACCCTGCCACCCCCACTCCCCCTCACCTCCCCCCTGCATTATTTAGATAAGCCATAATGGTAAATCTTCATACAAGATTACATATCTCAAGTTCATAGGGCCCCTTCTTTTTCAGTATTTATTTAGAATCGGGTAAGGTATTTCATGTCATCTGTTAAATGCCTCTCATAATTGCTGAAGTGGCATTATTTAAAATTCCATCGTGAATTTTACATGGAATTCTAATGCTGTCCATGGCAAACTTCAGTGACATACAAAAAGTCTATTTATCACATTGCTTTTCAACACAGGGTTTTTCTCTTAGACCTCCCCTTGCTTGTAAAGAGCTTGCCCTTTCTGATGTATGTTGTCTGCATGTTTCTTTGCCTAGTAAGACACTGAATGAAAACAAAATAACACAGAAAAAGTCTGTAAAGGATAAAGATGGTCTTGTGGCAAATGTTTCTGTGATTAAAAAGATTAAATTTTTTTTAGCAACAATACAGATAGACCTGGTGACATTACACTGATGACTGAAGCCATTTAGTTACAGGTTTTCCGGCCCCCCGGGGGGGGGGGGGAGCCGCTACATACAATTTAATATGTGCCTATATCCATCTGTTTTTAATGTGACTTTAAATTTTATTCACATCTAAAGAACTCCTCTAAAAGTATTATTTCAATTTTCTCTTCAATTGTTCTCTTTTCCCCTCTTATTCTGGGCTTCTATTGTAGCTGAGGCTTTAGGATATGAGAGGAATTTTATGGCCAACAACCATCAAATATAAAAAGATTTAGTTGTTTAATTTACTGTGACTTCTGAAGCTAATGTTTCATGTTTTTAGGAAGAGCTGCTAGCATTCTTTTTACCCATTATTTAGTGGTTGGCTTTGGTGCTTTTGGATGAAACTTGTGATGTTTGATCTTCTCTTGAAGGAACAGCGGGTTTATTTGGAGAGCCTGATGACTTTTTTAACTGCGAAGTTAAATAATAGTATGAATGCTGATATCTTTTTGTTGTCAGAAATGAATTATAGAGGATTTATTATATCAGAAGTGATATCAAACCCCTAATTCAGGTTTTCTTTGCCTGTTGAAGTCTGGTAACAATGTTTTAATTTCCCTCACTAGCTTTTGAAAGAGCACGCTTCATCAATACCAGCACGGGAATCCTGGCCTGTTGTTGGTCAGTTCTCAAGCATTGGTTCAATGGGAGCTGATGGGTCCAAATGGCTGTGCTCAGAGTTCCAGGAGAGCCTGGTGGCTGCAGGCAGCAGTGTGACAACTCTCCTTAAATGTGATGTTCCAATTCATTTGGTATGTCTTTTAGATGCTAGTGACCTTTATTTAATATTTATTAATTTATTGTTTAAATCTTAGTCATTGGTTTGCTTTTAACTTTTGGAAGACAGTAATGTAGTTTTCATCCTGAAATCATAAGGATGCTGCTTAATGACACTCGCTTGTGTATGGTATAGTATAAAAAATTACTGTAATTTCCATCTGTGTGACACTGGAGTGTATATATAATCTAATCAAAATTATATTCTCATTCTATAGCTTGTCTTAGCCATTGAGTTTTGTAGATGCAGCTGTTTCTGCTATTGAGATATAACTGAATCCTGAGTGACTAATACCTAAATCAAATTCTTTTCTGTCCTGGTTATTTTGGTCAGGTTATTAGCACAGTTAAGGGAAGGAGCAGGAACAAGTTTGTGACAGGAGCTTGTTAAATCGAGGGCAAAATGCTGTCAAATTATGCCATTACTGTGTACTAATTGCCCCTGCATACTTGTATTTGAGACATGAGTCTAAAATCTCATAAAGTAATACTAAGAGCTTACCTTGACCACCGTGGAAGCGGTTGAAGCAGGGTTGTCTGAGTCTTGCTAGCTAATTTTGGTAAGCTCTGTAAGAGAGGTAAAAATACGTTTGTTACTGGCACATGACTGGTTTTAAGCTGCGGTGTAATTTTATTAATTCCGAAAAATGAAGTTTTTAATATGTTTTTTTCTCAAGTAAGTTTTCTTTAAGGTAATTTTTGTTTGACAGCTTGTGTATTTAGAGCTGCATTATTAAAGTTACTTTTCCTTCCCCCTCCCCCCCCGAAGGTTTATCCTACTGTGAACAATGTGAGACAAAGTCTGGAAGGCTATCCCGGTAAGCAGATGAACCCCTGTTTATTAGCTTTTTGTGGTCATAATGTCCCGCAAAATCACTTCAGTGGTTGATGTTGAGTGAGCCTGAAGTTGTCATCTTGCTGAGCCCTTGGTAGAATAGGTGGCAGTAGAATCCTTTTATTACTGTTACTGGAGCTCTGATTCCAGCTCTCCTATTGTGATTGAATAGAAGAAGCTTTGTGGGCATTGGTATATAATGTTTAAGTCTGTGTAGCCATGTTCATATGTCACTGTATAGGAAAAAACAGGTCTTGCCCACTGTTCTAACTCCAGTCATATTTTCACTTTGGCAGAAAATTCAGCTTTGAGTGTGCCAAGTTCTCCTTGTGTTTTCTTTGCAATGTCATCCTGCACATCAGATACAATGGAGAATAAGAGTTTCACTACTCATTAGTCATTTTATTAATATTGTAATATGTAATTGTTCTGTTCAGTCTTCCCGTGTTTGTGTTCCTGAAGTCAGTATATTTGTATAGAAAGCATAGCCCCAGCCAGCCTGAAAGAGCGAGCACTTATGTGGGTTACACCCGTGCATGCTAAGGGAGCTGGCTGATGTCTGTGCGAGGCTATTGATTAGTCTTCAAAAGGTCAAGGCAATTGAAAGAGCTTCATGAGGACTGAAAGAAAGGAATTCTTTCCTGTCTTCAGGAAGGATAAGAAGGAGGATCTGGGGAACTATAGGCCTGTCAGCCTCACCTTGATCCTTGGGATGATGATGGAACAAAGAATCCTGGAAACTATTTCCAAACATATGATGGACAAAAGGTGATAGGGAGTAGTCAGCATGGATTTATAAAGGAGAAATTATGCTTAATTAACCTGATGTCCTTCTGTGACAAGATGACTGGCTCAATGAATGAGAGGAGTACACTCGATGTTGTTTATCTTAACTTTAATAAGGCTTTCAACACAGTCTCCTGAAACACCATTACAGACAACCTGATGAAGTACAGGCTGGATGAGGGGCCAGTGGGGCGGACTGGAAACAGGCTGAACCGTCAGGCCTCAGTGGTTGTGATCAGTGGCACGAAGGCCAGCTGGAGGTCAGCCATTAGTGGTGGTGTGTGCCAAGCATCGATACTGGGGCCACGTGTTTAATATCTTCATTAATGCCCTGGATGGCAGGGCAGAGTATGCCCTCAGTGAGTTTGCAAATGATACAAACTCAGGAGGAGTGGTTGATGTATCAGATGATTGTGCTGCTATTCAGAGGGACTATACAGGCTGGAGAAATGGGCTGGCAGGAACCTAATGCAGTTCAACAGAGGGCAATGCAAAGTGGTGTGCTGGGGCAAGAATAACCCCAGGCACCAGTACACACTGGGGGTTGACCAGGGGAAAGCAGCTTTCCAGAAAGACCTGCAAGTGCTGGTGGTCACTAAGCTGAAGATGAGCCAGCAATGCACTCTTGTGGCAAGAAGGCCAACAGCATCCTAGGCTGCATTAAGAAGCATGTTGCCGGCAGGCTGAGGGAGGTGACCTGTCCCCTCTATTTTGCACTGGTGAGACCACCTCTGGAGTGCTGTGTTCAGTTGTTGGCTTCCATGGTTACATGTCTGTTACAGGACAGACATGGACATACTGAACTAAGTCCAGCAAAAGGCCACAAAGACAAATAAGGGATTGGAGCACCTGTCATACAAGGAGAGGCTGAGAGAGCTGGAGAAGACAACTTTCCTGGGAGATCTTATCAATGTGTATAAATACCTGATGGGAGGATGCAAAGTAGAGGCAGATTCTTTGCATGGTGACCAGTGAAAGAACAAGAGGCAATGGACATAAATTGAGATACAGGAGATTCCAGTGTACCCTTACAGCAAAAATGTTTTCTGATGTTTAAATGGAACAGGTTGCTCAGAGAGGTTGTAGAGTTTCTGTTCTTGGAGATACTCAAAACCTGACAGGATACTGTACTGAGCAGTGTGCTCTGTTTGACCCTGCTTTGAGCAGGGTGTTATTCTAGATGATCTCCAGAGGGTGTTTCCAACTTCAATGATTCAGTGATTCTTTGGCATTGCTGAATCCATAAACGTGTTCCTGTTCCAAGCTGGATACCTATGCTCCCACGTAGTATGAAGTAGAGTAGCTGTTGAGCTCTTCTAACAGTTGGTGCAATTTGAACACAGGACTAGAAGGAATGCTTTCAACTCTCGCTTTCCTCTGAATTGAGCAGTGTTTGGACATATGTAGAAACTGCAGCCAGTGAGTTTATAGGTATCTGTGGTTCTCACAAGTAAATCAGGGTCTTTTGAAATACTTCTGCTTGTCTACAGCATTTATTTAGTAAAGTTTATACTCTTGAAAGTCAGAGATGCAATCTGCGCAATGACTTCTGTCATTTCTTTTGTATTCTGAAATAACTTTGTGCAAATGAACAGCTCCGTGGACTCCTGCAGTTAGTGCATCCCTGAGAGTAGTAAAGCTTTTGTAACAGGTCCTTACGGTGTCTTCTAGAACAGGTTGAATGCAGTAGGTTTTGCATCATGTTTCTAATACACAACACTAATATAACTCAGTATTGTATGGCTGATTCTTCTTTGTTAAATTAATTTCAAAAAATCACAATATGCATTAGCCAAAGACCAAATCAATACAAATACAATTTCATCAGAGAAGTTTTTGCTCTTTAAAATAATATTGTTTGGTGGTGGGGTGGTGGTGTTGCTGTTTTTTTTTTCCTGAAAGCTGCTTGTTTTATTCCCTCTAGCTTGTATGGGTAATGATTCTAATCTGTTGATATCGAGTGGTATCATAACAAAAAATTACCCTGTCTTCTAAGAGGACTGAATTCTATAGCCTGTATACTGTTTCTCTTTTTCCTAGTGTAAATCTGCTATGTAGTCTTTAACAACTTGCTAAATTATAAGAATGAAAAAAACCCAAACATATATACCATCTTATACTACTGGAGCATTTAACCATTTTCTGAAAATAAGTCATGAGGATAGTAGAGATAACTTATTCCCCAAGAGGCTTGCTGCTTTTAGAATGTCTTTCAAAAAACAAATGTACATGTTCTATTTTTTTTTTCCTTAAGCTGGTGGCTCACTTCCATACAGTATACAGACAGCACAGAAACAGCTGTGGTTGCATTCCTATTTTCAGTAAGTAGAACTCAATTCTTTGGGTTTTTTTGTTTTTTTTTTTTTTCTTAGACTGTATGTTTAAACTTACAATGTTGTAATGTTTGAGTGTTAAAAGCAAATTAAGGGGAAGTGGTCAGAAACATGATATTCTTAAACTCCTTAAAAAAAAAAAAAGCCTTTAGTTCTTTACCTGCTGGCCTTATCTCCAAACATAGTCAAAACATGCTATTTACCTGTAAAAATTATATGGGATACTGTTGCTAATGGAGGACACTATCAGATTTTAGATTCTATAAACTTCTATTTAAACTGTCCTTCTCTGAACTGGAATAATGTTACTCCTCTTTTTTTTTTTAAAGTTGTATTTTTCTTTCCCACTTGTGCCTCAGCATTAACAGGATTTCAACTGAGCCACAACAGTGTTAGGAAGGCTTTTTTTGTTTGTTTGTTTTCGAGTGCAGCAGTCCTCCTGCAAAAATTCTCAGTCCCTTTTGGTAATATCTTTTGTTAAAGGTGCCTGATGTTTTCCATTAAGAACTTCTATTTTCACTTGCTACTAATATTGCCAAATTCTAACAGTCTAACACATTCCGTGCCAGATGTCTCCCTCAGGCTGGATCTTTAAAAACTTAAGCGTGTTTTGAGAACAGTCGGAAAAGTTGTTTTGCGCAGATCAACAAAAAAATTAAATCCGGTAACCTCTTACAAGACCACAGCTCCCCATTCCATTCACCAGTAACTTTTAACTCTTCCAGGTGGAAGTTGTGGTGGTAAGATACTTTAAGTAAGAGTTCGTAAAGTTGTGTATGTATTCAGAGGGCTGAGAATACAATTGCTAGTTGCAGAGAGCATCCTCCATTCTGGAGTGAACGTGATTGCTGCTGTGAGCCTTGCTGGTCAATGTCCACGGAATGGAACTGGAACACAAAGCTTGTGAGGCTTTGTCTCTCCTGCCTTTGAAGTGTGCCCTCTGAGCACATTCAGCAAAGGAAGAAAGCTACAAACACCTTCAAGACTTCAAAGTTGTTCAGTCATGATTCAGAAAGTGAGGAGGTCATAAAACTGGGGGTGTTTGTGCAGCCTTAATTCAGGTTTCTATAAGCATATATCTCATGAGAATCTTATTGGAAAAAAAAGTAACCTTTTTTCCAGTTAGTCTCTTAGTGCACAGAACATTACTTGATAATGAGACCATTCATTTTTTTTAATTCCTGTTTAATGAGAAAACACCCACATATGTGTCTCATTGGGCATATCAGGGTCCTGCTCTGGCAATAAAAGGGCTGTTTTAAATTCATCTGTCGAATTGGTTGCAGATGACAAGTGGCCCTGCAGTTGCTCTGTAGTGACTACCCAGATGCAGATTCTTACCCTGCAGTAATACAAGACACTAGCCCTTGAGGAGAGCCTGCATGTAAGCTGTTACCATAGAGCAGATGACATATAGCAGCTTCTTATCCGTGGTAACCCAAGAGACACAGAAAATGGTGGGTTCTGTTTCAATAGAGTTAAATATAAGATGAGCTATTTTAAAGACTTGCCATAATGCAAAGCTTTGGCAGTAGAAGCATTAGAGGAATTTGTCTTTACATCGCTGGAAAATAACACAAAACCAGCAAGAACCTAGAGATCCTACCAGAATTGAAAGAAGAGAAATACTTCATGCTTACTGTAAAGGGGAAGGAATAGCTCCTTTTTACAAGTAGAGAGATATCAATGGAGTTGGAAAATGGTGTCCTATAGTCTCGCCCCAAAAAGGCAGAACCTCTGCCCCAGGCATATCATTTTTAAAATGTTTGTGGCCTGCTTTTCTCTCTTCTGCCAGTTGAGTGTATTTAACTAACCTGTAATGCAGCGCTGAATTGTAATTTCTCAAATTTCTTGAAGTAATTTCTCAAAAAAAAAAAAAATAAGATGACTAAACTTAATATTGATTTCACTTTTCTGATCATAGCAAATGATTGCTAGACTGCTTTGTTAGATAAGCTACTGTGTAAATGGTGCAATCTGCTCAGTTTTCTCTCTGGTAGGGTTGCTGATTTTTTTTTTTTCCTTTCAGTATTACTCATAAGGAGACATTTGCAATGCTTAATGATTTCTGTTAATTGCTGCTTTGGAAACAGTTGATCAGCTTTAGAAGTACATAAAACATTGTATTTTAATGCTCGTTTTAATTGATTGCGTTTTAATACCATGTGCCCTATGTTTGTCAAATTTTTATTTTCAAAGAATGGAAGAAATTGTTTTGACAAGAGTTTGTTTGACTTGCTGTTGACAAGTCCATAATTGTAGTTGTATTAGCACATTGTGTTCTTTAGGCCTGTAGAGTTTTGAAGAATAATTATCTTTCTTCTCAGTTCGAAGAACTACAGTGTTGTTCCCCTAACACCATAAAAGATGAGAGAGATGGAGCATTTACACAGAGGACCTACTGTTCTCTTATGGTTGAGACTAATGGTGTGAGTTGTTTATCTATGCTCAAGCCTTGTTGCCAGTATCTTGAGATGGAGAGCCCATTCAGTATTTGAAGTAAGAACTAAATGATGAATGATTTCTGGTGGTACAGAACCAGAATGATTTCTGGTGGTACAGAAAATGAGTTATTCCTAGCTCTGCTTATGGGTTGAATGTGTCTGCACAGATTAATTTTCAGGATGTTAGGATTATCTGGCTTCCCTGTCTCAGTAGCTCCACTTGTAAAGGGGCCTGTATCTGCTCCTTTACCTCATTTATGCCTGAAATTCAGACATTGCTGGCAATTGATACTTGCTGTATGTCTTCCAGCTAAATGCACTGTGATTGCAGTGTAGTCTCCTTTTCAAACCCAAAATTCATTGCAGAGTAAAATAAATATTTATCACACATTTAAAAAAACCTTACTTTTGAAATTTTGGAAGTGGTTAAGTACATATAAAAGAAACAACTTGTAAACATTCACGTTTGTAGTGCAGTGCAGGTGAGTGCAAAGTATTTTCTATGTTGCAAAAGATACCTTATTCATGGTAGAGAACATATTTCCCTGTTCCTTTCCCAAAAACCCCAAATTATGTGAAACTGAAATAGCTGTTGGAAAAATTGAGGGGTAGGAGGGGCAAAAGCTGTTGCATTTTAAGAGTTGGAAAGTAGATTACTTCTTTAATGCAATGTACTTAATCATGGCATTAGAAGCTGTGTAATTAAAAAGAAAAAAGAATAGCTGCTGACTGAAGTGCTGCTACTTCCTCCCTCCCAGTCTTTTGCAGCAAGTTACTGGTAAAAATGTCAGGATTAGTGGTCTGAAGTCAGTTAAGCTGTATTAGCAATAAGGAGTTCTAGTCCTAAGAGCATAAAAGAATAAAAAAATAGCAAAAAGGCTTTCATGTTTCACTGTTCGAATTCTGATAATACCTACTCACAGAACTCTCTTTCCTCACCCTATGCTTGAGCTTTTAGTTTACATGGTACCATGACCTCTAACTGTCAAAAAAAACCAAAACCAAACCTACTTCAAGCTGTGGTTTTGCTCCATAAAATTTCTCCAAGCTAGTTTCATTTCACTTACCATATTTATCTCTGATGAGACTGAATATGCCTGGAGTTTACTGCAAAATATCAGTCCTGTGTACATCCTTTGCCAGCTGCATTCTGATGAAAAGTTTACAGCTTAAAATGTGTTAAGCCAATTGGACTAGAAGTAGCCTGAAATTGTTTTATTGACATAGGCTCTCATCCTTGCTGTGCAAAGCAACTGCACTTGTATTTTACTTTAGGCTTTTTGTAATCTGTTTTGGCTTTTTTATTTTTCCTAAAATATGTCAGGAAAGTTCCATGGTGAAGTTGAAATTTAGCTTTATTAAGAATAGATTAAATCGTATTGTATGCATGTGAAACCCCTTCCAGTTCTTGGGTTTTATCATTCCACTATGCAGTCTGGAGATAAGCTGACTTTTAGGCTGAAGGGAAAACATTTCTTAAATACTTCTTTGCTAATAATACATTTACTAAAAGCATCTGAGTTTTTCAATGAGGTAATTACTTTAAAAAAACCCACCCAACCAAACAACAAAAAAAACCCCACCCCACAAAAAACCCCAAACAAAAAAAAAAAAACACCACCAAAACAACCAAAGCTGATTTGAAGAATATAATCACTTTCTTTCCTTTTTTTGTCGTTACATATTTGTGCTGTCCTATTACAGAAAATACAGCCAAAATGCATTCTCCCTTTTCTGATTTTAACTTTCTGGAATACCAGTTCCAATCACTTGTAATTGAAACTAACTGCAATTAGATTACTGTAGAATGTAAATGGAAGAGAAGCAGTAGTACTCTTGCTAAAACACAGTACTTAATTGTATCTGTCAAAGATAAGGAGGCAAAAAGGCAGTAGGCTGCGATAGTATCTCAATTATTGCAGTTTGTAGTGGGGGGAGAAGTTTGTCCTCAAATAAGGCAGTGAGATGGATCTAAAGAAAATCCGTTCAATTCCCAATTCTACTATTTTTCCTGTTTTTCATTTCTACAATGTTACTGGAGTTACATAACTATTTTTGTGCCTTAAACTTAAAGATAGTGTTTGCCTAAATGTCAGTTGTGAGAGAAAAAGCTATTAACAAGAATTGTTGAGTTATGGTGTAGCCTTACAACCTGTATCTGTAGAGTTCTGTAGGAGAAAACAAGTTTAGTTAGCTGTTTCTGTATCATATGTATCTTAGTCTGTTCTTCAAAAACAGACTGCAGTGTGGCTTGCATCTAAACATAAAGATGTCTAGTTTGCTCCAAACATGCATACAGTGTTCAGCTCTTGCTGTTAGGAATATAGGACCAGTTCTCAAACCGTTTTCTTTCCTTAATCGGAGGATAGGGTTGTTAAAGTAGGTCTTGATCCCTGAACTGCAAAGTCTCTTGATTTAACTCATGTGAAAGGCCTGAAAGGCAACTTAGGGAAATAATTCCAGCCCTTCCACTTCAATCTTCTTGGGTTTTAAATGAACACAGTTCACTTAAGAGGTTTTCTGGAGCTGATCGATTCTTTTTTATTTGCCTTTTAGAAAGAGAATGTTAAATTAGGGAAACAAGATTGTGATAACCAAAACCAGAGCCTATTATATTCTAAACTGAGGAAAAAAAAGTCTCTGGCTGGAGGAAGGTGTATTTGGAAGCCTTCCTGTATTTGAATGAGGACTAATAGCTGTGAGTGGAGAGTGCTTCTAAATACCATGATTACATACCTTCAGATATGTACATATATTTACTGCTTGCTTACAGTTTAGTTCTGTAACATTGATGCTGAATTACCCTGGCAATGGCTTGTTGCTTTGAACTAGTTTTTATGTATATACATAGATATGACCTCTACTCTCTTAAGCCCTCAAATTTCTCCGTGGCTTAGGGGCACAGAAAAGGCAAGAGGAAGGATTGTGTCAACAATCTATCAGTTGCTCCCTGTCTGTACTTCATGCATAATAAATTGTAATGAGCTTGGGGAATTTTGCGAGGTTTAATTTGGTGCCAAGTTCCTTTGCTTAAAGGCATAACCATTGGTAGTCTTCAAAGAAGAAATATTGGCTGGAAGTTTGGACTTAGTTTCTTGAGTGCTAGCTGGAGTGGAGGGATGGAAAAACTTGTTAGGAGAGCCTGATACACTGAGAATATCTGTCTGGTTTGCTCATAAACAAAAAAAAAATCCTGCCCTTCTGGCTTCTAGTAAGATTGGATTTCAGGATTAAAAATTCAGTTAAAGTATTTTCAGCCTTTCTGTAGGGGGGAAAAAAGTATAAAATATTACAAGTATAGGGTAGTGTTACCAAAAACATGGCACTGTAGTATGGTGAGTATTTTTAGACCTCAAAATAAAACCGTATATGAAAAGAATTCCTGGTTTTTTTTCCAGCAAATGGTCAGCAGAAATCTCGGGTCGAAGTCATGCTATACCTCACATTAAGACATACATGAGACCCTCTCCTGACTTCCAGAAGATTGCATGGTTCTTAGTTACAAGGTAAACAACTAACCATACAGCTCTTGCTTAAAAAACAGTCATACAAAGTTCTTGTCAATTGCAGGCCCAGGTGAATTACTGCCGTAATCCTCATATTACTATAAGTAGCGATATGAAATTTTGTCCATATTTAATGTTTCTTCATTGCATTGCCCCTTTTGGGGTTGCAAGCTGAAGTGATTATGTCAGGAACTGTTGGCAATTGCACCAAAATCTCGTCTGAGCTGTAACTGCCAATTTTGGGGTTCAGAATCAAATGAAGTGATGAGTATTTTTGAACCTTGGGCTGGGTTTCTTTAACATGTGCTGTATGTGAATGTGCTGGTTTGTACAAAATAAAATTAGGCCTAACCCATATCTATCCTTGTGCTGCCTTATTACAGAACATGTAGATACCTAACATTTGGAATCTGACCTTTTGTCAGATTGAGTTGTTCAGCAGTCTAGCTTGTAGTCTGAGCTTTGTATTTCTATGGTTTGGTTTTTAAAGAAGTCAAAAGAGGGAGCAAGGAATTTCTTGGTATGAGGGGAGAATGTCTTTTTTGTGAATGAGAAATACAGATATGTTTGTTTTGCCAAAACTGTTTCTTCTGCAACCCTATATACTATAGATCATGATCTTTGTATCCTTACTCTTAAATACTCAGTTACTTTGAATCTTTTTTCCGCTTTAGGTTCTGGCTCTTTAGATTTCATTGCTCATTGATACTGTTACTTGCAATAGTAGTAGTGATTAAGGTGCTTTTTAAAGGATTTAAGTCATTCAAATGTGATGCTGAGTCCTTCTAATACAGAAATTCATGGTTGCTTTTATTTTTTCTCATGTTTCTTCTATTCCACCACTTGCTACTATCAAAAAGCATCCAGTAACTCTGTTGGTTAAAACGTAATGTTTAAGCTTTGTGTTTTGCTGTAGAAGTAGGTTTTTACAACAGAATTGCACTTATTTTTTGAGTCCCAGCTTGATGTACTTCATAACAGATACTGATGAAGTATCAACTACAGTATGGTGCTGAACAGCATGTGAAAACAAAAATGCCTCTTTGATAAATATTTGTTTTCATAAATATAGCAAAGAACAAAATGCCAGGAGCAAAAGATATTGTTTAACACTTGTAAAAATGCTCAGTACTAAATGTGTTATAATGTAACTAGTTATAATTGAGCTAGCCTTTAATCTTCCTAAGTCATCAAATTGAAGCTATTTACCAATACTAAGTTCCTTTCTGAAATGTGCAGAGAAGATGCAAAAGGCTGAACTCGTCTTGTAGATCTGTATGACACAAGTAGGCTTGTGTAGTTATCCATACATGTTATGAATACCCTTCTATATATTGTCTCCGACACTCCCACTGTGCTGTAAAAATAGTAATAAGGAATACCACGCAAATCACTCTTTATGAAAAGACTGTCCTGATTGAAGTGAAGTTCTCCTGCTAGAAGTGCATTGCTACAGCTGTGGTACTTAAGCATTTTCTGCTGTGAAGATTATGCCTTACTGAAATGCTTTGTTTCTCTTTGCAGTGCCAATCTATCTAAAGCAGCTTGGGGAGCTCTGGAGAAAAATGGTACCCAACTGATGATTCGTTCTTATGAACTTGGAGTCCTTTTCTTGCCTTCAGCGTTTGTAAGTTTGTAGTTCAAGTACAAATCCTGGAATACCTTGAGAATCTGCAAATGTTGATGAATACAAATGTGACTGAATAATCTGCTTACTGGGTTCTGTGTTGCCAGGTTAGAAAGCTAATAGCAAGTGGAGTTTACACAAGATACTCTTTAAAATAGCAACAGTCTGTTTTCCTACACAGCAAGTATGGATTTGGTGTTGATGTGACTCTTGTGTTACTGAAAGGCAATAATAGTTTAAAATTGTAATATATACTAGTGTCGCCGGAAAGGATGATCAAATCTCTTCTTTTATGCTTCTCAAAACTAGGCTGTGAGTGCATGTTCACATTGAATTGATGCGTATGGGTTGTAACTTGAAAAATGAAATGATTTTGCAAAGTCATGTGATTGTCTCTTCTCAAACTTTCTGCTTTGAGAATGAGTTCTTAAATGCATCTTCTAAAATCTCCGATAAAAATCTAAGGACATCTTCATAAAAGGCTGTTTAAAAGCTGAAGGATTGTATCTTCCAAACCGATGTGACAGCAGTCTAGGTATGGAGAAGGCAAGTTTGACCCAAAATAAGTATTATTGTAGCGTGTGGAGCAGAGGACTAGATGTAAAATGTTTTCTTGGTGACTAAGGTCCATCTAGCTTGTAGTCTAGTCTTAGTGCAGTTGTAGCAGATGCCATGGGGATTAGCACAATAAACAGGATGTATGTGATATCTCTTTAGCGTATGTTCCCTATGATTTATTTTAAAGGCTTTCTAGGATGAAAATTGTGTCCAGACCATGATGGTTAGTAGCCACGACTCAGCTTATTCTCTTAACACATCAGGTTCCTTATTGAACTACTCTTGCTGTTTTTTAGCTCTCTACAGAATCCTGTGGTAGTGAGTCCTGTGACTTAATTGTGCATTGTATTTAAGGAAAAAAGCTTTCTCTCTTTGTCTAGACTGTTTTTTGTTATTTAGATCTACTGCCTGATAATAAGGAGATGTGAGTTTCTTGTTCCTGTTGTTGATTCCTCCTTCTCTCTGGTGAACCTAGTAGTACCAAAATGTTATCAACAGCAGTTAGTCTATGATCAGAAACCATTCAAATCATTCCTGTGTGAAATTTCTTTTCCAGAGAAGAAATTCCAGGTGTTTATAAGCTAAAAGTCCTTAGAAATATTATTCTGATGAAGACCACATCTTTCCTAGATAATGGTCACAGATGTTCACATAATGTCTCATCATTTCTGTTGATTAGTAATGTACTCCCAAATGAGTATTTACTGATATTATGACATCGTAAAAAAGTTTACCTACAATAACTATAATTGCAGTTTCCTAAGACTGCAATGTTAAGATTGATCGTTTCTGGCTGGAGCTAAAGAACTCCTATGTCTCACTCTTGACATTTATTAAGGAGTTTACATAGTAGTGTGGTCTCTGATTTTGTGAACCTTAGAGACAATCTCAGACATCATTCTCCAGCATGGTTTATGCAGAAGAAAACTTTTAGAGAAAATGTGTTGATTAGAGACTGAAACAAGAAAAATCCTACAACTTCCTATAGTAGGAAGCATTGGTTTTGATATCACTGCACTCTAAAAAAAAAAAAGCAAACATTGCTTGCGTAAACTATTAATAACAGAATAATGAAGTGTTGGGCGAAAAAATTGTGCAAAAAGATTTTACTTTTAACAGCAATTGACCTCAAGGGATGAAATAATGTTCTGAGAAGGTGGCTACTGTTATCTCCAGATGCTGCCAAGCAAAGAATTTACGTATGGTGCTGGTATGATTGTACTTAGTGGTTAAAGTTTTTTGTATGAACATAACTGATCACCAGATTGCACAGTCATTTTACATAATTTGAATATTCCTGTTCTGACTCTGGCTTTTCTATGCATTGCTAGTTTTGGAAACATACTTCAAATGGGTGGAAAATCAGGAATAATTGAGTTAGTCTTTTTGCCTAGAGTGACCATACCTGTTCCAGATCTGAGCAATCTGCAAAATTTTCACTTTAAAAAAAAAAAAGTAACACCCCCACCACCCCCTGTGAGAACATTTGGCTTGCATTCCATCCTGAATCTTGCATTTTACACAGGATTTCTTGCATGTGGAGCAGGGGAGGGGGATCACCAGAACATTTTTCAGAGGGCCAGAACTTACGTAAAAAGATCTTGAAATTTCTTCCCCACACCTGAAATTGTCTCATTCTTGTGAGTTTTTCTATAACTAAGTTTCACTCCAAAATCAGACTTCATTTTGATCAACAGAATTACTTGTTCACGAGCATTTATTTATCAGAAATATAAAAGATTCTGAAGCACTCGAACCTTAGAAAATTTCAGCAATCAGAAGTTAAAACTTTACCTTTTTTGCAAACTATGTTAGACCTTTCTGCTATTAATGACTTTTTCATCATTCTGGGTGTTGATTTAGACAAAAATTATTAATGTGTTTTGTTTCTGCTCGCAGTCCACTGTTAGCAGTTGGAGTAAAATCCACTTAGCCATTTAAGAGATGGAGAATTATTAAAAATGGAAGTGTATTTTTATAATTCTGTGTCATCAAAATAACCGGAATTTAAATGCAGTGTCTAAGCTAAATTTATTGACGATTAAAAACGTGTTGGATACTTATTAAGCATCTGCTCCAGCCTTTAGCAGAAGCCTGCAGGCCTGTGTACACAAGAAAATTTAGAGATAGATTCTGCTGTAAATATGAGTACTCTACTAGCAAGGACAACTGTAAATAACAGTTTTGGTAAACACTGTTGGGTAAACAATTCCTAATGAAGCTCAAGCCTTGTGGTCATCAGGATGAGAAGCAAAAAAGACATTGGTTGGGTCTGCTCTCACGAGAGGAAAAGTTTCACTGAAACATTGCAAAAATTTGACCTCTTCTCTCCCTCCTTTGCCAAACCTCTGTTTAGGGACCAGAGGTAATTCTGCTTGGTGTGGGAGGGGGCTGCATTGCTTTGAATCTTAAAAGCTTTTCAGTAATTTTTGCTGCATTCTACATTCATATGCACACTCTAAATCTGTTTATGAAATGAACCCGAGAGAACACTTGATTTTTAAATGTGTTAGGCATTCTGTTTTTTCCTTTTGATCAGCCTTCTGGAAAAGGCAGTCAGGGTGTTCCAATCCCCACTATGTTCAGGAAAAGATCAAATTCACCTATTGCTATATAGCTCTATGTTATTTTGGTGTCTATGTTATATTAGTTGAAGCGGCAAGCAGTGTGGAAACTTCCCGCAGTTCAGAAGAGTCACTGCTGAAAATTTGACTATTAAGGAGATGAAAAATGTTTATTTTGTTTTTAATATTTGTAGTAGCAAAAAGGAGGGAGTATTAATATGTTTCATACACTGGGAGCAAGAGCTGTTATCTTGTATAGTATGCCTGCAAGATGATAATAGATGAGAGAAGTAGTATTTGGCTGCTGCCAGTCTACTACACTGCTCCCTACTCTGATTATTGTGACCATCCCCTAGAAAAAGATTGCAGGCTTTGACTGTAATAGTGTTATTGTGCTGCCTTATCCAACACCTGTATAATTGTCAACCTTACAGCAATAATGAAGTTCTAGTTTTCATCTTGGGAGTGTCCACCTTCTCTCTTAAGAAAAAATTGCCATGAAAAACACATTTTCTGTGCTACTTTGTGATTTCTTTTTGAAGTTGAGAATAAACACAACTTATAGTCAGTGTCAAACGCAAAGCTAGGGGCCAGTATTTTCAAAACTGAACTTTCACTTGTACCCCTAACATGGTTATAGAAGTACAAGTAAACCGCATTGTAGTGGGGATGGGGTGTGGAGTGGGGTTGTTTGGGAACCCAAGGGCTTTTCGGAGAGTGCAGAAACATACATATCGGGAAGATGAGTCACTGCCAACAAGTGAATAAGTACTGCTGAAATCAAATTTAACTGTAGGCATCAAGGATTTGAATGGCTGATGTTTTTTATTGCAGTGTAAATTTATCCTTATGATGCATGCATAATGTAATCTTATATCTGAAAACCAAAAATAGTTTAATGCACACAAGATGTTTCTTTCTTGAGAATTACCAGTTGATGATTATAGCAGTAGAGTTCAGTACAAGTTAGCAAAACTGTCCAAGAACTGGAGCGAATACAGAGCCATGGTAAGTATGTTATAATTACTGCGTTAGCAGTGTCCACATTAGTTTAAGGCTTCCTCAGGCACATCTGTACAGCTGCTGTCATTACAGTGAAATGCCTTTCATTAATTACATTTGTAATGTTTTAGTAGACATCAATGCTTTTGGCAAAGTTTTTCCTGTATGCAGCTTTAGGAGTCAGCATCTCAAGAAGATGATTCCAGATATCTTTAAATGAGACTTAATTTAGCATCCATAACTTGAGATAACTTGCTCTAAGGCTGTGTTTCAGTCTAATGATACTCTGCAGTAGATTTTCTAGTGATAGGATCTGACCCTTGGCATCTCAATCTGTCAAAAATCATTCATTTCAAAGGGGTTATTAACCTTCAGAGATTTTAGTCTGTTGGGCCATCCTTTGTCATCTAAGTCTATGGAAATTTTGTAACTGTCAGGAATTGAAGTAGTTAGAGTAAATTAATCCAATTTCTATACATACAGCAGATCAAAACAACAAAAGTTACTCTTACAAATGTGGCCAAGATCTTGATCTCACTGAGTAGTTGTAGGGCTAGTTCAGATTTGCAGAAAGGATGCTGACAATCTTGGGATTGTGGCAGTCATTTTTGTTTGATGTTCAAGGCCTCTCTTCCTTAAACCTCCAACTGCTGCAGGCTTAGGCCCTCAGCCTAGGAAGAATACATAGTGAAGCTTTGCTGCAACTCAAGATCATTTTCTGGTGACAAATAGGTTGCTGGACCTGTCTGACTCAGCAGATCAGTTTATTAGAGAATTAACCACCTGATAAGGTAGGTTGGAATCTGGCTTATCTCAAACATGTTGAAGCAATAGATTAGCTTAACATGTGGAACTACATCAGTTGGCCCTACTGCG